AACTTCATGTCAGAACATCAGCACATGATTTAGGGACAAGATCCTCTAAACCAACACATAAGCACACTACACTGTAAGAACACTGCGAGGCTCTAGGCAAGAAAGCCTGACACGTTTACTTTGCTTTAAAGAGAACAAATTGGGGTGGGGGGTGATTGAAAGCTTGAGTGTGTACCTCTTTTATCTTCAAGAACATGAATTTGGTATGCGTGTGTGAATCTCTACAATAAGCCCTGGGGTGCTGATTACAATGACATATATACCAGGAGAAAGTTAAAGCATCAATCCTAAAATACATACACATACATACACACATATTATACACACACATATTACATACACACACATACATATTATATAGATAGATACAGACACAAACATGCGCCCATACACATACATTATATATATACACATATTATACACATACATTATATATATATATACACACACATACACACAACATACATACATACATACACACACACACACACACACACACACACACACACACACACACATGGCTTATGATTGTTCCTACAGAAAAAGCTAGCTTTGTTTTAGTTAATGGCTCCTTTGGCTTAAAAATCAAGGCCAGGCCAGGCTATTTCAGAGGGAAACCATGCATGGTGCAGCCTGACATTATAAAGGTCCAGAAGGTAAAAGAAACTTTTCGTTCTGATTGGGCTCAGAACCCCTACTGGCCGAGGACTGGAGGAAGAGAATTCTATCATTAGTACCCTGAACACCAGATTGGAAATGTCTAATGTGCTCATACCCGATAAGAGGTTTCTAACAGCGTTTGGCAGAAGTCTGACTGTCCCCCCCGCCCCCATAAACAGAACGGCAATATATCCATCTATTTGAAGCATCGATCAATTGGAGCTCAAATGCTGCTCTAACAGAGTATGTGCAGCCGCTGCCCCACACAAGGGACGTGTGGCTGCCCTCCGAGCCACCAGTGCTGCCTGACTGCAAGTCAGCCCACAGGTTCAAGGCCAGCAGCTTCCACACAGCTCTGTGCACACACACACACACACACACACACACACACACACACACA